CCAAAACCCGGCTCCGGAGAGTCCGATCCCTCCGGAGATGCTCCTGCAAACCCATCCGGAGCGCGGCTGCTCGGGGAAATCCCCTGCAGGTGGAATATCCCCCCCCCCAGTGGAGAGCACGGATCTGTCTCCCCCCAGCCCCAATCCTGGGGGGTTGGGGGCTGTAGAAAACGATACGTCTTTATTTTTAAAATAAACCCTTTTGGGAAATAAGCTCGTTGCTGGTTTGCTCTGTGGTGGGTGGAAAAGTCCTTCCCTTTCCCAAAGGGGTCGGAGCCGACGGCAAAACCCGACAGGACCCGGGGCAAAGAGGGGGGAGAGAAGATGCTGATGGGACTTTTTGCAAAATCACGTCTGGTTCTGCAGGACCCCTGAAAAAAGTTGAAGAAATATGGGTTGGGGTGAAGGAGGACAAACGGGGAGCGATGATAAATAAACAGAGTGAACAGCACGGTGGCTTCGGGACAAACCTTTGTGCCAAAAATCCCCTGTCACCCCCCAAAACCTCAAATCCAAGTGCTCCTTTTAATGCAATAAATCAAGAAACGGCAGCAGCAGAGCCCCGGGCGAGCCCTGATGGGGGGGGAAGGTGATATTTGCCTTAAAAACTCACACATAAGTTAAGACGCTTAAAAAAACCAAGTTCTTTTTTTTCCCTGCTTACCCCCAAAAGTTTCTTTTCCCCTCTCGGCCCCACACACTGGGATGCAGGTGGTGAATGGGGGCAGGTGAGAGACCTCCTGGGGGGAGTTTTGGGTGGAGAATGTAGAGAAATGGTCCCTGGGGGACAGAATCCGTCCCCACCTCCTCGTGTGACCCCTTGATTCCTCCTTCGCCCCCCTCTTGACTGCTCCTGCCAAACTTAAAAAATCAAGTTCTTTTTTTTCCCCACTTGCCCCCAAAAGTTTCTTTTCCCCTCTCGGCCCCACACAGGTGGGTGCTGTGGGAAGGGTCTGTCCCTGCGTCACGGGGGCCACAGAGCGAGCTCCTGGCCGAGGAAAAAGGCAAAAAAGGGGGTGAAAAAGGGGTTTGGGAAACAGTGGGGGCTTGAAACTCCCCCAAGATTGGGGTCTGGCACTGCCTCCCCCCTCCCAGCCCAGGGGGGTGAAGCTGGTGGCTCCTGGTCAGGGTCATGGTGGCACCAGGGCACCCCGACCCCGGACTGGAGTGGCATCTCTGGAAGAAAACCTACAGTAAGGAGCAACCCCATGAAGTATGATGGGGTCTTTGGGGGTGGTGGAGGGGTGTTGGGGTGCTGGTGTGGTGGGTGGTGACATGGTGGGTGCTGATGAGGTGGATGTTGATGAGGTGGGTGCTGACGTGGTGGGTGCTGATGAGGTGGGTGGTGACGTGGTGGGTTCTGATGAGGTGGATGGTGACGTGGTGGGTTCTGATGAGGTGGGTGATGCTCCAGGATGACCCTCAGCAGCATCACGCAGCGGGTACATCCGTCTGCCCTGAAGGACACTGTGGCCACCTTGGGGCCCATCTCTACCAGCATCGACACCCAGCACCTCTGATGAGGTGGATGGTGACATGGTGGGTTCTGATGAGGTGGGTGATGCTCCAGGATGACCCTCAGCAGCATCACGCAGCGGGTACATCCGTCTGCCCTGAAGGACACTGTGGCCACCTTGGGGCCCATCTCTACCAGCATCGACACCCAGCACCCACCTTCTCCCCTTACAAAGCTGTGGAGGGGGGGGTCTCTCCCCAGGGCGTCCCAGGAAAGGGCTGTGCTTTCCTTCCCATCACCCAACTCCCTTCAATCTGAATGATCTCAGCTTTGACTGGCCTTCAGCTGGTGTCACCTCCTTCCTGGCAACAGACGTGGGTGAAGCTCCCAGAAGAGTGAATTTCATTCCCGTTTGGGGCAGTGATTTGGGGTCAGTTGTCCAAAGGCTGTTCCCAAACACCTTCCAGGTCCCTGCCATGACCCGAGCTGCTCCCGGGTGGTGACTCACGTGGCGCTCACCACCGGCCACGGCGCCTGGCACGGGGAGGACCACGGGCTCGTGAAAAACAGGTAGGGCAAACCCAGTCCCTGGGCAGCTTCTCCTTCCAGCCTCCACTCCCTGGGGTGCCCCAAAGGTCTCCAAGAAGCACTTTTTGGGTGCCCATCGGCTTTATTTGGGTGTTTTTAGGGCTCAGCCCCGTCACAAAGTGGATTGAACCCCACAAACCCCAACCTACGCTCCTCACCCAAAATGCTACTGCCCTGACTCCTTGGTGCTGGCCCAAAAAAAATGAGGTTTGCAGGTTCCTGGGTGCTGAGTCAGCACAAAGGGCTGAGGAACCGAGCTCTGGTTTTGGGGGGGGGATGCCCTGGTGAACCCCTTCCCTCAGCCCCTTCAGCCTCAGGGGTCACGGCTGCCCCTTCCCTTAAAATGTTTTGGGAACGTGTTTTTTTCATCACCGTTCAAAATGCAGAACGAGAAGAAACAAAGTGTTGAAACCCGAGTATTGCTGGGACGGACGCGTTTCTGGAAAAAAAACACCCCAAAACTGCTCTGTCAGCAAAGCCCCAGTCACCAGCTGCGACTTTTATCGCTTTTTTAAAAACAACAACAACAAAAAAAAACCCCCCCACCCAACCGTGGGCCGTTCCCCCAGCAAAGCTCCTTTCTCCTGGTGTCAGGGTTGGGCTAAAACCCACCGTTTTCCTCCCGTCTCTCATCTCTGGCTTTGGTGGGATTTAAAAAAAAAATAAAATAAATGAATTTTTAATATACAAAACAAATTCATTCACCTTTCTCTGGTATTTCCTCGGTGGTTTTAACTCGCTCCAGCACATAGAAAATAAGTGATTTTTTCCTCCGCCTCCCCCTTTAGAGGAGTTCCTGGCAGGGAAACCTGGCAGGGAAGCCCTTGGGAGGTTCAGCCTTTTTGGCCAAAAAATGCAAATTTGGCTACTCCCGTGACTGCTGGGGAGGAAGCACGAGTTGAAAAAGAACTTAAAAAAAAAAAGGGATGGGGAGGGAAAAGAGTGAGGGTGAGGGGTGGTACAGAAGGAGGCTGTTATCCCTCCACGTTGCCTAATTTTCCCTTTTTTCCTCTTCCAAAAGTTGGGGGGGTGCGTTTTGGTGGCTGGATGGTGAGGAACTGCTACAGCATCGCCGACCCCCCCGTGGAGGGGGGTTCCCCATCTCAGGATGGGCTCTTGAGACATCCCCCTCCTCCTCTCCATCCTCCCCACCCCACGGATCCTACCACCTTCCCAGGACTCAGCGGTGGGGAGGAAGAGGAGGAGGAGGAGGAGGAGCGGCCACGGGTGGCTTCTTCAAAGCATCTCATCCCGCGTGGCCACCTCATCCCCCCTCCCCAGGGATTTTATCCATTACTAAGGGATAATCCGCGGGGAGTTATTCCAGTTATTTAGGCGGAGGGCTCTCTGGTGTCATCCCTCGCTCTTGCAATCTCCGGCAGCTTTTTAGAAAATGACTCAGCTGCACCTTCAAAGCTCTTGAGACATTGTTTTGCTTCCTCCTTTTCTCTTAGAAGATGGTTTCTTGCAGCCATTTGGCGTCCCGTGATGCTTGGGGGTGGTGAGAAATGTGCCCTCCTGCCCGACTGTCCTTCGTGGAACCCGGAGGATGCTCCGAGAAGAGGATGAAGCCTGATTTTTTCCTGGCAGCCGGAGACTTTGCTGACCCCATCTTTGGCCTGACCACAACATGATGGGCATTAAACGAGTCTCCTGCTGCCCAGCTCAGCTCCATGTTCAAACCCTGCCTTCCCCTCTCTGCTGCCCCACAGAAAAGTGACTAAATGTGATATTTTTTTTAATTATTTTTTTCCCCATGAGCTGGCTTTGGTCTGGCCGACGCGCTGCCGAGGTGAGACGGGAGCTCAGGTCTACCCACCTCCCCAGCTCGACCTCATCCTGCCTCTCAGCTCAGCACCAAGGCAAAAAAAGGGCAAAAATCCTACCAGAGGAGTGTGAGCTCCTGCCCGCTGTCCCCATAAGTCACACAAACCACTGTGCCAAGGGGGCAGGGTGCTGGAAAAAGGACATTTTCCCAGCTGTGACCATTTCCTGAGGGTCCTGCTCCCAATCGCCCTGAGCCCGGCCCGGCGAGCCCAGTTTCCAGTGAAGTGAAAACGAAAATCAGAGCATTTCCTCATTTCCTGACTCGTGATTTGCCTGGGGAGTTGCAGCCACTGTGTGCTGAAGGTCCCGGGTGTCCTGGCCGTGGGGACACCGCAGGGTTTGTCCTCAGCATCTCTCCTACAGGCGCTGCCGGGGGAGCGGAGCGTCGGGACCCACCACCAGACGAGGTACTTTGGGTGCTTTTGTATTTTCACCCCCCCCCGACCCCTCAGAGCCCCTTCGCTCGGGGCTTTGAGGAAGTAAAACTGAAGGAACGACACTTTTATGTTGACTCTGACTCCATCTTATCTCTAATCTCCTCCAAGCCCTCGCGGGGTGGTTGAGTCGCGGGTGGTGGCCCACCCTGGATGAAAATAGGATTATTATTTTTTGGGGGGGGGGGGGGGGCTTTTTAAGGTGAGAGCCGCTTGACCGTGCGGCTGCTCCGGGGAGGGTGGAACTGTGAGACCAGAGTGGGGACGTGTCCCTGCGTGTCGGTGTCCACATGGGCAAGGGCTTGGGGCCAGAGACTTTCCAACCCCCAGGGAAGTTCCTGAGCCCCACATGGGATTTTTTTTTTTGTCCTCCCACCTGGCAGGGGTTGGGGAGGGGGGGTTGGACGGGGCAGGCAGCGCTGCGGGGAGCTTGTCTGGGCAGGTAGGACAGGAGCTGGTGGCATCACCTTGGTTGGTGTAGAAACCCTGTGGAGGGCACGCCGGGGAGTCCAGGTCAGGGATGTCATCACCCTCCTGCCTCCCTCACCAAACCGGATCTGTCACTAAGGGGTCAAGCCCGGCTCCAGCTCCCAGCCACCCTCTCCTGTCGCTCCGGCTCCCCGCTCCCAGCCCAGCGGGATGAAGCTGGTGGCTGCCATCGCCTTCCTGGCCATGTTCATGGTGGCACTGGGACAACCCGACCCCACGCTGGACTGGCACTGGCAGCTCTGGAAGAAAACCTACGGCAAGGCGTACCCCCACGAGGTACCGGGGGTCTTTTGGGGGGTGGTGGAGGAGCTTTGGGGTGCTGACGTGGTGGGTGTTGACGTGGTGGGTGCTGATGTGGTGGGTGATGCTCCGGGATGACCATCAGCTGCATCCCACGCAGGGAGGAGAAGACCCAACAGCCCTTGGAAGCTCGGCTGGTTCCCCAGGAGGGGTTGGCGGGGGGGTTTCCACCAATTTTTTGTGGGATAAAGTGGGGTGAAGCCCCAGTGATGAAGCTGTGATTGATTTCAGAGAGAGGAAGGGGTCCGACGCGCGACGTGGGAGAAGAACCTGCGCCTGGTGACGCTGCACAACCTGGAGCACTCCCTGGGGCTGCGCTCCTACCAGCTGGGCATGAACCACCTGGCAGACATGGTGGGTGAAGGGCCTTGTCTTTGTCTCTAATTACTCTCAAGATTGGCTTCGTAAAGAGCATAAATAGGTTTGGGGGGTGGAAAAAAAATTCTCCCGACGACCCTTCCCAGTCCATCCTCTTCTCATGGACTTCTCGAGGACAAACTGCTCAGACATTCTTGTGCTCATCCCTCCGGCGTGAGGCAACCGGGCGTGAGGAAATCGCTCCTCGACGCCGCGTTCGGGGCGCCCGGGCCTCGTCCTGCTCGTTCTATGGATTTGCCAACCCTCCCTCTTCGCTGTCCCCAGGTTTTTGTGTGGTTGCACGAAAGGCACCAGCTTCTGGGCGGTTTTGGTGCCGGGGGTTACGCTTTGTATTTGCTTTTTCTTGTCCTTTCTGATGAACGATTAGAAAGTCAATGCAAAAAAATTAAAAAGCCAAGGGCTCCCCAGAGCCGCTGACTCCTGTAGCTCGGACTGGTCAAGGACGGCTAGAAATTCAATGTAAAAAAATAAATAAAAAGCCAAGGGCTCCCCAGACCCGCTGACTCCTGTAGCTCGGACTGGTCAAGGGACATCCCTCTCCACCTTCAACAGACCCAGGGTAGGACTTACAAGGAGACAAGGAGATGGTGTTTTCTTTTTCCACCAGACCAGTGAGGAGGTGGCAGCTTTGTTGACCGGGTTGCACATGTCTCCTCGCCCAAAGAGGGTCTCCACGTACCGACCACAGCCCGGCAGCAAAGTCCCAGACACGGTGGACTGGAGGGAGAAGGGATGCGTCACGGAGGTGAAGAACCAGGTTTGGAGCTCTCTTTCTTTGTGTCTTGGCCCCGCGTGTCTTCGTCCCGTGGGGCAGTGTCTGAGCATCTCTGGGGCTTTCGCAGGGAGCCTGTGGGTCGTGCTGGGCCTTCAGCGCCGTGGGAGCCCTGGAAGCCCAGGTGAAGCTGAAGACGGGGAAGCTGGTGTCCCTGAGCGCCCAGAACCTCGTTGACTGCTCCATGATGTACGGGAACAAAGGCTGCAGCGGAGGTTTCATGACCAGTGCTTTCCAGTACATCATCGACAACGAAGGGATTGACTCGGATGAGTCCTACCCCTACAAGGCTCAGGTCGGTGTCAGCCCTGGGCAGAACATGGGGTCTGCAGAGAAACACACAAGCATGGAAGCAACACGGCCATTCCTTCTGCTTCCCTGCATGGAAACCCTTCTCTTCCTCTCCCACTGGTTTCCCTCTTGGTTTCTACCTCTTGGTCTTGGTTTCTACCTGTTGGTCTTGGTTTCTACCACTCTCGTGTCTTCTTCTCAGCCTTTGCAGCTGATTCTTTAAGAGTTGGGTTGACGTAAGTGCTTGGTGACATGGTTTAGTGATGGTTTTTTATCAGACTCAGGTTGATGGTTGGACTAGATGATCTTAAAGGTCCCTTCCAACCCAGACAGTCCTATGATTCTATGGTTCTAAGATCCAGGGAAGGGACCTTTAGACTTTTTCTTTCTCGCAGGCGAATGACGTAGGTGCAAGCCACAATTTCTACATGGTTGTTTCTGTCCTACGTAAATTATTAGGCAACGTCCTAGATGGAAGGGAAAAATGGGACAGGAGTCCTGGGACCTGTTCTCAGCCCTCCCTATTATTCCATTTCTGCCATTTCAGGGGGAAGAGGTTTCTGGTGAGCGACCAGAACGTTCATGTGTTTGGTGAATGTTCTGGTGAACGTTCATACAATTGGTTTTTTTTAAAAGTTGCCTCTAACAGATGCTGTGAGGTTGTGAGGAAAGAGCCACAAGAAAATAAAGATCCTAAAGCTGAGAGTCTTGGTGGCCGGAGACAAGAGATGCCCTGAAATGAGCTGGTGTCTTGAAAACACCATCCATGGACAGGGGTCTAAGTAACAGCAGGTTGTTCCAAGAAAGAAAAGAGGAACACAGGTCTTCAGACGTGCATAGGGCAGGTAGAGAGACCAGAAATGGGTGTTCTCTGGGTCCAGGGGGAGAATGAGAAGCCACGGGCTTAACTGACAGCAGCAGAAATGTGGGTTGAACACAAGAAGGAACCTTCTGCTGGAAAGGGTGAGGAAGCAAGGGCAGCGTCTCTAGGGACGTGGTAGGAGCATTGTCATTGGAGGTTTCTAGAAAAAAAGGCAGAGAATTCTGCTGAAATGACTCGGCTGCTCTTGGTGTGGGGAAGTGAGATGGAAGAGATGGTCTCTTCAGGTCCTTCCGGCCACCTTTTCTCTAATCCAAAACCGGTGGTCAAAAAAGAGTCAAAGGTGGTCAAAAAAGAGTCAAAGGTGGTCAAAAAAGAGTCAAAGGTGGTCAAAAAAGAACAGGGCAGGGCAGGGTAAGAGAGGGCTGAGAGAAAACTCAGACCTGAAAGTCTTGGGCTGCTTCTGGTGGATTCTTCACCCTCTTCTTCTCAACTCCCCCTTGTTCCCCCCAGAACGGGACGTGTCAGTACAACGTTTCCGCAAGAGCTGCCACTTGTTCCAAGTACGTGGAGCTCCCTCACGCCGACGAAGAAGCCCTGAAGGAGGCTGTGGCCAACGTGGGACCAGTCTCTGTCGCCATTGACGCCACCCAGCCCACCTTCTTCTTGTACAGGTCAGGTAGGTCCTTCTACCCTAGAGTTCTTCACGCTCTTCCCTGTCTTTCTGCACGTAAAACTTCATGAAATTCGGTGGAATTTGGGGTTTAATTCCCGGATGAGGGCATCGGTGTGACCGTACCTAAGAGTAACGTTGGTGGCTACGCTTGAGGGTTGGCTTGGACACAAAGACAAGGTCTTGTGGTCTGATGACGTGCTTCCAAGCACCTTGTTTGTTTTGTCCCCAGGGGTGTACGATGACCCCCGGTGCACGCAGGAGGTGAATCACGGCGTCCTCGTCATCGGCTACGGCACCCTCAACGATAAGGACTACTGGCTGGTGAAAAACAGGTGATGGTCCAGCTGGGCACCACCAAGTTCTCCTTCTCTATGCGCTCAGTCTGTAGGGGCAGGGTCCTCCTAGAGACCCCCCCACGATTGAAGGGACCGATATTTCTACTCATGGGAGGGAGCTCAGTTGGGTTGGTGGAGTTGGAAGCTGGTGTTGGTCCTTAAATCCATGATTCATGTTTAGCCACGACATCTTTAGGTCATCCTGGAGCACGAAATGCATTTAAAACACACTTATACTCACTTTAGGTTCCCTTAAGTTGCCATAAGACGGGATGAGAAATCCCATGGAGAGCTTCATGAACACACTTTGCTGCCGGGACGTTGATAAAACTGCCAGAAAAAAAAAAAAAAAAAAAGGAATTTAATTTTTTTTTTTTCCTCCTCCCTGTCTATTTTTTTTTTTTTTTTTTCCCCCAAAAGCTGGGGCAAGAGTTTTGGCGACGAGGGCTACATCCGCATGTCGAGGAACCACGCCAACCACTGCGGGATCGCCAGCTACGCCTCCTACCCCCTGATATAGACGGGGCCTGGGCTCCACGGGGCTCCCGAGGCTTCAGCTCTTGAACCCCTGACGCGACGCTTTGCCGGGATCTACTGATTTCAAGAATAATTTTCTGGCTCTGGGGGCACCGTCCCACTGTCGGAACGGCCCGTCCCACCGGTTGGGAGGGAGCCCTTGGCGTGGGATGATTGTGATTTACAGGTACCTTGTGACTTCTTCTGTGGAGGGGGGGGGAAAGGAGTTTTTTTTGGGTTTTTTCCAAGAGTAAAATTGCATTATCTAGAGTTATAATGGAGATGGTGGTTTCCTCTCCCCAGTTCAGCACTGGGTACTGCTGCGATGACACAGGTGTCGTGGGATCGTGACGTGATGTTGGTGAAATTGCAGAGTTTCTTTGAAAAAAAAAAATAAAAGATGGGTTTCGTTGTCCAAAAAATCCCCTATTTGGAGGCAGGAAGGGGGGGAAGAGGGCGTTCCAGCTGGTGCTTTCACACCTGGTGGTGGCAAACTGTACCCACCTGAGGACCTCGCACAAAACCCCTCTGCAAATGACGTTTCTCCCCCAAAATGGGGTCTGTGGTTTGGGGGCGGAGGATACGGACTGTTCGGGGAGAGGAGGAGGCTGCTCTAGGGGGGTGGGTCGGGGTGATGGAAGTTCTTGTGGTGATGACATTGAAATCCAACTGCTGGTTTTGGGGCTTCACCTCAATGGGGTCTGTGGTTTGGGGGTGGAGGATACGGACCGTATGGGAAGAGGAGGAGGCTGCTCTAGGGGGTGATGGAAGTTCTTGTGGTGATGACATTGAAATCCAACTGCTGGTTTTGGGGCTTCACCTCCATCGATGACATTGAAATCCAACCGCTGGTTCTGGGGCTTCACCTCCATCTCACCCCCTCGAGATACCACCGAATGCGGCACTTGTCTTCCAGGAGAACTTCCAAAAACCGATGCTGAGGGGAGAAGGTTTTAACTTTAAAGCTTTCGGATGGGGCTGAGCATTTGCCACCCCCTTCTTGGTGTCCGTGCGTTCACTACGGGCTTTAAAAAAGCTTCTTCGGGTTTGTTGTGGTGAAAAACTCGAAGGGAATGGTTTTGGCGTTGAGTCGGGTGCTGAACTCAACGGTGGCCCGAGGTGTCACTGCCACCTTGGGGGAGATGGAGGAATTGAGCCGAGTCCCCCCCTTCCAAGGTGGAATTTGAGAAAATTATCGCTTCTTTTTGGCCTCTGCAGCTCAGCAGCTGCGTCATTGTTGGGGTATTTTGGGGTTTTTTTTAACCCTTTTGCCAAAGCGTTGCTCAATCTTAAATCCTTATCGACTGGAGACACCTCCTTCCCAAGCCCTGGAGGTCTTTGTGGACTCCTGAGCACCTCCAGCTCCATCCTTGGAAAGGGGTCACAAACCACCCTATCCTCAGCAAAAACCATCAACCAGTGAAGAGTTGATGGGAAAAGACACACACACCCCCCAAGAATATTTTGATTTAACACAAACATACAATCTGGGGGGGCTTCTGGGAGGGTACTGGGGGGATCTCGGAGGGCTCTTGGGGCACGGGGAGGGTTCTCACAGGTACTGGGTGGGTACAGGTGGCACCAAGAGGGTCTTGAGAAGCTCTTGGGAGGTCCTCAAGAGTTTTGGAGTGTACTTGGGTGCTCAGAAGGGTTACTGGAGGGTTCTGGGATGGTCTTTGGGTGTTCTGGATGCTCATGGGGGGCTCTGAGGACACACCAGGGGCACCTGGAGGGTTCTTGAGGGGTTTGGAGGACACTGGAGCAGATCTGGGAGTGTTTTTGGGGGTATTGGGAGGGCCTGGGGGGCTCTGGGAGGGTCCTGGGGGGTTCTGATGAGGCTGTTGGAGGGTCCCAGGTGGTTCTGTGGCAAACTGGAGGCCTCTGTGCACCTTTTCCTGTCTCGGGGACCCCCATTTTGCATTTTGAGCCCCTCCAGAACCTTTAACCCCAGCCCAGAACCAGCACCAGGAGCCCCAGTGCCGGCTCCCTCGCCAGCAGGGCCAGGAGCCACAGCTTTTGGCAGCCCCTTCGTCACCTCAACGGCCTTCTCCCTTCAAAAAAAAAAAAAAATGTTAAAAAAAAAAAGAAGAAAACCCACCCAAAAGCCCCCAGGAGAACCCCTTTGTCTGCACATTCAGGTGCAGAACAGGAAGCCCCATTGTGTTTCGGTGATTTCATTGAGCAGTTAATTGCTGCCCCTGCTTGGTTGGGCTTGGGTTATTCTCTTTTTTTTATTATTTATTTTTTTTTTTCCTGGTTGCTCTGCCGAGGTGTGTCGAGGAACCGGAGGCTTCGTAACAAAACAAACACCAGGAAAGAAACTGGGTTTTCTTTTATGGGGCGGGAGGCGCCTGGAGGAGGCTGAAGGGCATCCAGCCCAGGAAATAAATCAGTGCATCACTCCATCGGCGACATAAATGGAAGAGGGAGAGCAGAGGGGACACGGGAGGAGCAGAAATGGCTTTTTCTGGGTTCATTTCCCTCTTTTCCGAGGGGATGGAGCCTCTTCTCCCACTTGGAGAGAGCAGGGGTAGAAGGTTTCTCTTGGGCACCACAAATAAATCACGCCCGTGGCTGGGGGTCGGGCATGAATTTGGGCTTTTTCTCCAGAGAAGGTGGTGGCACGGG